TCATCATCATCATCATCATCATCATCATCATCATCATCATCATCATGAGCATCATGATCATGACCATCATCACCATCATCATGGGCAAATAATCATGATCATGATCATGATCACCATCATCAGCCTCATCCTCATCATCAGCAGCAGCAATCGTTCTCATGAGCAAGCACCAGCCACCCATCATTCATCAGCGTCAGCATCGTCATCGTCATCAGCATCATCCTCATCATCCCCGCCACCATTATCAGTATCGTAAACATCATCATGACCCCGCCCACCATTATCATCATCCATCATCAACATCATCACCGCTATAATCATCATCAGCATCCTCCTCCTCATCATCAGCATCGTCGTCATCAACATCAGGATCATGATCATGCTGATGACAACCATCACAATCATCATCATCACCACCACCTCCATCATCGTCATCATCACTATCGTCATCGTCGTCATCACCACCACCTCCATCATCATGACCATCGTCATCGTTATCCTCACCATCATCATCATCATCATCATCATCATCAGCATAAACATCATCATCAGCATCATCACCACCACAATCGTCATCATCACCATCACCATCACCATCATCATCCTCATCACCATCATCATCACCATCACCATCACCATCACCATCACCATCACCATCATCATCATCATCATCATCATCATCATCATCATCATCATCATCATCATCATCATCATTATCATTATCATCATCATCATCAAATCAACATCATCGTCGTCAACATCGTCATCGTCATCAATCTTCATGTCGGCATCATCACCATGACCGTCACCACCATAATCACCATCACCATCACCACCATCATCATCACGGCTCTCCCAGGTCTGGAGACACGAGGTGTCACACTTGACGGCTTCCATGCCCCCTCGAACAGTCGCCATCTGGCGTGCTGGGCTGGCACGGTGGCGGGACTTGCCGCAGGCAGCTGGATCCGCCGCCCCCTGTCGATTCATCGCAGGGGTGCCTGGCGTGCCGTATATGGTTTTGGATTGGGTTTTTTTTCCAAAAGAACTCCCCCTGGGGCTCCGGCGCGTCCCGCCGGGGTCCCGTGACTCTTGCCCAGAGCTGTTTGCAACGCCCCAAAAACGGCCGTTTCGCTAGGGACATCCTAAACAAATCGCGAAGATGGCCCAAGATGGCCTGCAAGATGGTCCAAGATGGCCTCCAAGTCCGCCTAAGATGGTCCAAGACGGAACTCAGACGGCCCAACAGCGGCTAAGACGGCCCAAGACGGCTTAAGAGACCTCCCAGAGGCCTCCAAGACGGCCCCAAAGGCCTCCAAGAGGTCCTCCAGGAGGGCCCGAAGAGGCCAAAATCATTGTTTTTTTTTATGTTTTTGAAGGACTTTGGCATTCGCTTCTTCTCGGCTTTCCGACGACCCAAGACGGCCCAAGAGGCCCCCGAGATCGCCACCACAGCGCCCAAGAGGCCTGCAATATTGCCTCAGGACTGTCCAAGAGGCCCCCAAGACGGCCCCAAGAGGGCCACAAGACAGGCCAAGAGGCCTCCAATACACCCAAGATGGCCTCTAAGACGGCCCTGGAGCACCCCAAGAGGGCCCCAAGTCGGCCCAGAAAGGCCCCCCCAATGGCTTCCGACGGCGTCAGACGGGCCATGAGCCCACCAAGATAGCCGAAGTTGGCTCGAACCTGGCCCAAGACGGCCCTCGAGGCCTCCAAGAGGGCCTCCAGGAAGGCCAGAAAAGGCTCAAAGCATTGATTTGTCTAAGGTTTTTCAATGATTTTGAGATTTGCTTCGTTTCGGCCTTCCGACGGCCCGATGCGGCCCAAGAGCCCTCAAAGATCGCCCCAAGATCGCCCAAGAGGCCTCTAAGATGGCCCCAGAACGGCCCAAGAGGCCCCCAAGACGGCCCCAAGAGACCCCCAAGACGGCCCAGGAGGCCTTTAAGACGCCCAAGAAGGCCTCCAAGACGGCCTTGGAGCATTCCAAAAGGGCCCCAAGTTGGCCCAGAGAGGCCCCCCAAACGGCTTCCGACGGCGTCAGACGGGCCAGGAGCCCACCAAGACGGCCGAAGATGGCCCGAGACGGCCCAAGAGCTTCCAAAGATCGCCCAAGAGGTCTCCAGTATGGCCCCAGAACGGCCCAAGAGGCCCCCAAGACGGCCCCAAGAGGCCTCCAAGACGACCCAAGAGGCCTCCAAGACGCTCAAGATGGCCTCCAAGAGTGCCCTGGAGCACCCCAAGAAATCCCCAAGTCGGCCCAGCCTCTCCCGCCGTGTTCCCCGAACGCTTTCCAAACCGATTCGGGGAACACATGGTCCGATAGCTTGGCAGGCCTCTGGCCACAACGTTCGGCCACATAGGCGCTTCCAAAAAGGCAGGGGGCGGCGGTGATTCGCCGTAGGCGTCTTCGATCCGCCGCCCCCTTGTGATTTATCACAGGGATGCCTGGCGTGCTGGATCATTTCGGTTTTGGTTTTGTTTCTTTTTCCCAAAGATATCCCCCTGGGGCTCCGGCGCGTCCCGCCGGCCACCCAGAAAGGCTCTCAAGGATCTCAATCCCCAAATTGTTCGCTCAAGATGGCCCGAGACGGTCCAAGAGCCCCCAAAGATCGCCCAAGAGGTCTCCAGTATGGCCCCAAAACGGCCCCAAGAGGCCTCCAAGACGACCCAAGAGGCCTCCAAGACGCTCAAGATGGCCTCCAAGAGTGCCCTGGAGCACCCCAAGAAATCCCCAAGTCGGCCCAGCCTTCCCCGCCGCGTTCCCCGAACGCTTTCCAAACCGATTCGGGGAACACATGGTCCGATAGCTTGGCAGGCCTCTGGCCACAACGTTCGGCCACATAGGCGCTTCCAAAAAGGCAGGGGGCGGCGGTGATTCGCCGTAGGCGTCTTCGATCCGCCGCCCCCTTGTGATTTATCACAGGGATGCCTGGCGTGCTGGATCATTTCGGTTTTGGTTTTGTTTCTTTTTCCCAAAGATATCCCCCTGGGGCTCCGGCGCGTCCCGCCGGCCACCCAGAAAGGCTCTCAAGGATCTCAATTCCCAAATTGTTCGCTCAAGATGGCCCAAGATGGCCTCCAAGATGGCCACGTTGGCCCAAGATGGCCTCCAAGATCGTCCAAGATAGCCTCCAAGTCCGCCCAAGATGATCCAAGACGGCCTCCAAGGCGGCCCCAGAGTCCGAGATATCTCCAAGGTCGCCGGAGAAGCCTTCAGGACGGCCCAAGACGACCCACGAGGCCTCCCTGAGGTCCTCCAGGAGGGCCCGAAGAGGCCCAATTCATTAGTTTTCAAATGGTTTTTGGATGATTTGGGCATTTGCTTCTTCTCGGTATTCCGACGGCTCAAGACGGCCCAAGAGGCCCCCAAGATCGCTCACGAGGCCTCCAAGATGGCCCCATGACGGCCCAAGAGGCCCCCAAGACGGCCCCAAGAGGGCCACAAGACAGGCCAAGAGGCCTCCAAGACGCCCAAGATGGCCTCTAAGACGGCCCTGGAGCATCCCAAGAAGGCCCCAAGTCGGCCCAGAGAGGCCCCCCGAACGGCTTCCGACAGCGTCAGACGGGCCAGGAGCCCACCAAGACGGCCGAAGTTGGCTCTAGGGTAGCCCAAGACGACCCAAGAGGCCTCCAAGAGGGCCTCCAGGAAGGCCAGAAGAGGCCACAAATATTGATGTTCCAAAGGTTTTCGAAGAATCTTGACATTTGCTTCTTTTCGGCCTTCCGACGGCCCGAAACGGCCCCAGAGCTCCCAAAGATCGCCCCAAGATCGCCCAAGGTGCCTCCAAGATGGCCCCAGAACGGCCCAAGAGGCCCCCAAGACGGTCCCAAGAGGCCCCCAAGACGGCCCAGGAGGCCTTTAAGACGCCCAAGAAGGCCTCCAAGACGGCCCTGGAGCATTCCAAAAGGGCCCCAAGCCGGCCCAGAGAGGCCCCCCAAACGGCTTCCGACGGCATCAGACGGGCCAGGAGCCCACCAAGACGGCCCACGTTGGCCCTAAGATGGCCCAAGACGGCCCAAGAGGCCTCCAAGAGGGCCTCCAGGAAGGCCCGAAAAGGTCAAAATCATTGATTTCCCGAGAGGTTTCGAAGGATCGTGGCATTTGCTTTTTTTCGGCCTTCCGACGGCCCGAGACGGTCCAAGAGCCCCCAAAGATCGCCCAAGAGGTCTCCAGTACGGCCCCAAAACGGCCCCAAGAGGCCCCCAAGACGACCCAAGAGGCCTCCAAGACGCTCAAGATGGCCTCCAAGAGTGCCCTGGAACACCCCAAGAAATCCCCAAGTCGGCCCAGCCTCTCCCGCCGTGTTCCCCGAACGCTTTCCAAACCGATTCGGGGAACACATGGTCCGATAGCTTGGCAGGCCTCTGGCCACAACGTTCGGCCACATAGGCGTTTCCAAAAAGGCAGGGGGCGGCGGTGATTCGCCGTAGGCGTCTTCGATATGCTTCATCGGAAAGAGTTCTTGCCTGGTCACAGGCACAGCGTGCTCCGAAACCTCCGCCGGCCTTACTGATGTGGTCGCTGGTGATGCTGCCATTGCTTTTCGTGTGGTTCGTGCACTCCTCCCCCCCACTTCTCTCACCAAGGAGTTGGTTGGGTCCGCCGAGCTTTCGCAGAGTCGACGCCCGTGGCCGCCTCGTGGCCACCTCGTTGCCGCCAGCTCGAGGGGTCCGCCGAGGTATCACCGCGAGGCCGCCCGTGGCCGCCTGGTGACCGCCTCGTTGCCGCCCAGTTGGCGGGTCCGCCGAGGCTCGTCACATATCTTCCACCACGAGGCTTGCACCACATGTGGCTTGCACACCCACTGAGTTTATCACTTCACTGTTTGGGATCCACGCTGGCGAGCATATTTGGGGTCCATGTTCGGGTAACTTCTCCCTCGACGTTCAGGCAGCCGCCCCCCCACTTGCGCAACCCGGTCGTGCGCGCTGGCGGCACGCCCTGCGCCCAGCCGGCCGCAGCCTTGAGCGCGCGCGCGCGGCTCGCGGCGGGCCCCGACTCACAGAAGCCCCCGCGCGGCGTGCGGGGTCGGGAGGCCCTTCTTGGGGGAAGAGGCCTCTCGGCGGAGACCCTCGCCGCACCCGAGGGCCCAACCTCCCCCCTGTCGGGGGCACGCTGACATGGGCTGGGGATCCGTGGACCTGGCGCTTGGGCGACAGATCCACGGATCGGAAAGCGTACCCCCCGCAGCGTAGCGCCAGTGCCGCATCATTCGACGACGGAGCGCGCCGATCCTTTCTGTACGGAAACGGGACCCGTCGCTAATCCACCTGCCTCTTGGACGCAGAACGACATGCTGGTACGCACGATGTGCTTATGCTGGAGATGAACGTCCGACCAGAACACGCAGCACAATAATGTTGTAGCACATCGCTGCCCAAACAGTCTGGCCAGAAAGCGCCCGCCACGGAGCCTATGCTGTAAGATGGTGGCACGCGCGTTCCGCACCCGCGGGGCCGACGTCGACCCTCTGTCCTCCTCCCCCCTCCTAACGGAAGCGGGGATGGCAACGGCGCCAGCGTATCGAGGAAGGTGCCCAGAGGCGGAGCCGAGGCCTCTCCAGGACCTCTCCAGGGGTGCGTTCTGCCCAAGATTTCGCCTTGAATCCAGCTGTGGCGACGAGAGGAGGGAAGGATAGCGGCATCGGCATCTATTCCTCCTCAGTGCCCGCTTCCCCCATGGCGAGCAAATTAGTCTGGCGAAGAACCCAACAATTTGTAGTTGTGAGAAACGCAATTGTTGGCATCGTCTTCGGTGGAGCCTTCTTTGGGGCCCTCCCGACGAAATGTGTGAGGGGTGTGCCAACATGGGTGCGGTGGTGTCATGCGAGCGCAGCCGCTGGGGCTTTCGGTGGAGCTCCCCATGGGGCCACGAAACGTGCGAGGGGTGTGCCGAAATGGGTGCGGTGGTGCCACGCGAACGCAGCCACTGGGGCCTTCGGCGGAGCTCCTTTATGGGGCCACAGAACTTGTGAGGGGCGTGCCGAAATGGGTGCGGCGGTGTCACGCGAGCGCAGCCACTGGAGCCTTCGGTGGAGCTCCCTATGGGGCCACGAAGCATGTAAGGGGTGTGCCGAAATGGGTGCGGTGGTGTCATGCGAGCGCAGCCACTGGGACCTTCGGTGGAGCTCCCCATGGGGCCACGAAGCGTGTGACGGGTGTGCCGAAATGGGCGCGGTGGTGTCACGCGAGCGCAGCAACTGGGGCCTTCGGTGGAGCTCCCTATGGGGCCACGAAGCGTGTGAGGGGTGTGCCGAAATGGGTGCGGTGGTGTCACGCGAGCGCAGCCACTGGGACCTTCGGTGGAGCTCCCTATGGGGCCACGAAGCGTGTGACGGGTGTGCCGAAATGGGCGCGGTGGTGTCACGCGAGCGCAGCAACTGGGGCCTTCGGTGGAGCTCCCTATGGGGCCACGAAGCGTGTGAGGGGTGTGCCGAAATGGGTGCGGTGGTGTCATGCGAGCGCAGCCACTGGGACCTTCGGTGGAGCTCCCAATGGGGCCACGAAGCGTGTGACGTGTGTGCCGAAATGCGTCCTGCGGTGTCATGAGAGCGCAGCCATTGGGGCCTTCGGTGGAGCTCCCTATGGGGCCACGAAGCTTGTGAGGGGTGTGCCGAAATGGGTGCGGTGGTGTCACGCGAGCGCAGCCACTGGGGCCTTCAGCGGAGCTCCGTATGGGGCCACGAAGCGTGTGAGGGGTGTGCCGAAATGGGTGCGGTGGTGTCACGCGAGCGCAGCCACTTGTGCCTCCGGTGGTGCTCCCTATGGGGCCACGAGACGTGTGAGGGGTGTGCCAAAGTGAGGGGGGCGGGAAGGAGGGAGGGAGGGAGGGAGGGAGGGAGGGAGGGAGGGAGGAGGAGGAGGAGGAGGAGGAGGAGGAGGAGGAGGAGGAGGAGGAGGAGGAGAGAAGAAGAAGAGAAACGCGGGAACCGTCTCTTCAAAACGAGGACCCGAAACCACAAGATGGCTGGGAAAAACTGTGCCTCCGTGGCCGGAGTCGAGCGCACGTGCTCTTTGGCTCTTTGATCACAACGGGGCCCTCCAGCGGTCCTTCGGGACCGTCCAGGGACCCCCGCTCTCAATGGAGAGCGTCCCGAGGCTGGAAAGCCACTGGGAACCGACGACAACGGCCGAAAACCTGAACCTCGAACCTCTTTAGACTTCTGTCCTTGCCTCCTCGAGCCCATCCCTGGAGCCCTAAACCCTATCCTTCTGCTACACTTTTCGAGCCAAATCGATCCGTGCTGGTCCTCGGGGGCCCGAAACCGACCGAAAACGCGGTGCGAAAACATTGCAGTGCCCCTTCCGGTGGTGGCCAGAGCTGCGCCGGAGCCGAGCGCCCAAGTGCGGCGTCGGTCTCCCCCGCGGGCCTTGGGGCGCTGCACGTCCGGCTGGGGCAGGACCTGGCCGAAGAACCACGCGGGCGGCAGCCGCGCCTCGAAGAGCATGCCGCCCTCGATGCGGCGCCGACGACGAGACGACGCGACGACGGCGACGGCGACGGCGAGCGCGAGGAGGGCCCCTCCTCGCCCTGGCATCCATCCGCGCTCGACCTCGCTTCTGAGTGGGCGATCCGAGGTTGAGCGAGGACGGGTGCGCGAGAATGGGTGCGCGAGGATGGGCGTGGAGGAGGAGCGAGGAGGAGGAGCGAGGAGGAGGAGGAGTCCGAACATGAGCATGGAGGGTGAGAGTGAGAAGGGGCGACGAGGAAGAACAGCGAGGAGTTCGAGGAGGTACTAGCCCCGAAGGGCCTTTTGACCCCCCCCCAAGATGGGGTAACTGATCATTTGTTCGCCGGCCACATTGAAGGACCGGGACCCCGACGAGGAAGAACACTATCTCGAGGAGGCACTCACCCCGAAAGGTCTTTAGACCTCCCTCAAGAGGGGGTAACTAGTTATTTGCTCGCCGGCCATATTGAAGGACTAGGGCCCCACCAACAGGAGGAGCGACGAGGAATAACGGCGAGGAGTTCGAGGAGGCACTACAGGAGCGAGGAGGGCGCGCCAGCGCAGGCTGGGAGGAGAGGGGAGAGCGAAAAGCCAGGTGCGCTCGGGCCACCTCTGACATTTCTGTCCCTCCCTCCCATCCCTCCCAATTGCATCCCTCCCCATTGCATCGTCGACTTTTTAGTGCAGCCACCTGACTGTGCCAAATTGTCTCCGGTAGCTGCATGCCAGAATTTGCTGATAGGCTATGCGCTTCATCAGCGGCGCAATCATCCGTCCCCATTGCGCCAAGACTTTCTCCTTCCGCGGACGCGTGTCATAGCCGACCTGGAACTCCATTACCTCAGAAACGAACCCCAATAACAGCAGAGGTGACCTGAAGGACCTGCGGGGCAGGTGCGAGCTTTGGGACTTGTGCAATCTGTCCGACCTATGGGGCTGTGGCATGTGAGACGTGTGAGACATGTGGGGCAGGTGGGGACTGTGGATCTGTGGGACCTGTGGGACCTGCGGGACTTGTGGGACCTGCGCGACCTGGGTGACTTCTGTGGCCTGTGGGCCCTGTGAGACTTGCGACGCCATTGGGACCTATGGGACCTGTGAAACCTGTGGAAGTTTGGGACCTGTGAAACCTGAGAGGCCTGTGGGACCTGTGGCACCGGCGGGACCTGTGGGTCCTGTGGGACCTGGGGAACCTCTGAGGGACCTGTGAAACATGCGACACCTGTGGGACCTGTGGAACCTGCGAGACCTGCGACACCTCCGAGACCTGCGAGACCTGTGCGATCCAGAACAATTGTCCGGGCTGGGGCGAGAGTGCCATTCTGAAGGACGGGAGCACGACGCCGATCTGAAAATGCGGCCCACGGTGCAGCGATAACACCATTATTGCGACATCCACAACAATCGGACAATCCGCCGACCCCCGCCTGCCGGGGATGAAGGTTCGTGTGACATATTTGGTTGTCCCCCTCCCCCTTTCCCCTCCCCTGGGGTCCAAAATACAATATGAAGGGGGGGGGAGAGGGGGGTGGACGAACTCGTCAACGCACCCCTGGTGCCTCCCGAACCACAAAAAAGCCACAAGACATGCCATCAGGCCCCGGACAGAGCGCCAAGACAGTCGAAGAGAGCATCATCACGGCCCAGGCTAGCCCCACGATCCAAGATGGCTCCGAAATAGCCCACGTTGCACAGCCTCAGGAGGATCGCCGAGAGGGCCCCAAGAGGCCCAAGCCATCCCATTCCCTGGGAGAACAAAAACAACCAATTTACATCACACTCGCATTCAACGTTTTGACAGCAAACACGACGGCCCTAGTGGCCCCCAAGATCGTCCCAAGACGGCCCATGATGCCTCCAAGAAAGCCCCAAAACGGTCCAAGAGTGCCTAAAGACAGCCCCAGGGGCTCCCCAAAACGGCCCAAGACAGCCCCTGAGTGCAAGATGTGGGCGTTCACGGCGTGATGCATGTGAGCTGAGACTCAATCGCGTCTCAGCGTCCGCACGCATCAGTGCTGGCCCCCTCGAGCGCGCCCCCTCGTCACCGGGGTCGCGCGGCGGTCGCATCCTGGCACAGTGGATCTTAAGCCGATGGCCGTCGGGCAGTGCCGCGTATTCCTCGTTGGTCTACTCGGTGTCTACCTGGGAGTATGCCACGACGTCGGCAACGCTGGTGGCCAGACCATCCACCCCTTCTCCATGTCCCTGGCCCCACGGGGTGGCACCCCTGTTGGGACTCTGGGACTCTGGATCCATGGGACATCCAAGTCTGTGGTTCATGTGAATTTTACACGAACAGATGCGGTCGGTTTCGCGATCCTCAATAGCAACGCGCTCGGCACGGCGCCTCTGTTTCGCTTCCGCCGCGCGGACAGACGAGGCGCGGGTGATGTCGTCATTCTGATCTCTCCAAGCCTGTAACACACTGCCCAACGAACAACTGTCATAAGGGGGGTTGTCGTGGGCCTGTGCTGCGGGTTCGTGGTCCTGCGTTGCGGTCCCTACCTTCACCTCCCCAGCCCATATAGCACTTTGAAATGTCGACGTCGAGGCACATTCCACCATGAGGTGGGGCTGTCGTAGTGCTGTGGCTGTAGACGGCGAGGTGATGAGGGGCCTGCGGGTTGCCCCCATGTGATCAGGTAAACGTTGCCGTCGCTGGGGTCCCAGCTCGTTGCCGAGCATAGAGTCGTTTTACTTTTGAGTGGCCGGCACAGTCGGTGCTGGTGGAGTAGGTGGCGAGTCGCCTTGCGTTACCTGCTCGTCGATCTCTATCGCGTCGCCGCGTTCCACCTCGATGCCGAGCTCCTGAAGAGCGTCACCAAATCCAGACCATTGTTCGAACGTTGTGGGCATCTGAAAATATGGCACAAGAGAACCGTAAAGACTCGACATGGATTCCTCACACTGTCAAAGCATGGTCCGCTGCCTGCAAAGAGTTGGTCGCCGTCTACGGGCTCTGAAGATGCTGAACCAAAATATGATGCATGAAACCCTATCGCATTTTCCTTCCCCCTTCCTGCATTATGATCCACTGGATAGGGGAATCGCATGCGTGACCCAGCGCACGACGGCCAACATCACAAAGAGAATTTAGCTACGCGTGTTCCATATGCCGACAGAACGACGACCTCCGCGACACCTCCAAAAAACATTCCGTCGTACTCGTCGTGAGATAAGGACGCCATGAATGAGGCGATGCCTTTGCTGCGTCACATCCTCTATGTCCACCATTGCCCTTGCTCCGCCTTGTGGTATGTGACGTGCGTATGACATATGTACATATACATATATGTATGTATCTATGCGCGCTATTCGCAGGCTTCCGCATACACCTCCTCCACCTCCTCATGGTCTGACGCATGGCAACGTAGAAAAACCCACCGTTTCCGATCATCGGTGCGATGTGTAGGTATGTCTGATTGATCCATTGGTCCTCCTCCTTCTGATGATTCGGCGTCGGTGTCTGTGCAGGATTCAATTGGCATGACGGGTTCAGCTTGGCCTTGGCCCCCAATGGGGGTAATAGGTAGTGCTGGGCCAGTCGGTGTTCAGGTCCAGTCTGCGCCGCAAGCTGCCCGGCTGCCAGCCGCCTGGCCCGTGGGAAGGGCCGCGCATTCAATGGGGCTGTCTGGCCACGTGTCATTGCCAATGGCCGTTTCGACACCGCTACCGCTAAGGGGTGCGTAGTCTGTGCGATGATTGGCATAGCGCGACGCGGTGCCGCGTCCTCGCCCGAACACCAGGCCGAGTTTCCTGGGGAACGTTCGGCAAGGTTGCCGACTGATCGCATGCGTTCGAGTAACGCAAAGCATTATACCTGGGTCTTGGGCATCTGGTAGTTTAGCAGCTGTAGCATCTGCGATGTTCGGGCGGTCCCTTTCTGAAGAGCACGGAACGAGACCGCGCTAAAGATCTAGAATTGCGGGATGTTCGATCCAGCAGGTTGGGCGTCTCAACTGGCCATCGAATGCGGTGGTCTAGCCAATGTCGCGTTGATCTGTTCTCCCAAATACACGCTCACATCAAGTATTCGTGTGCTTGGGTCGAGTTGACGTTCTTCTTCTAGGTGTTCGAACTTGTCATTCAATCTATATATATATATGCATATCACTGAGTCGGATCGAACACCATTGATATCCACGCCGTAGTTGGTGCTATGTAGTGGTATGCGCATTGTCATGGTTCGTGCCGGTCCTGAAAAAAAAAAGGCCTCGTTCGATAGCGGCCGCCTGTTGTCGGGGTGTAGGGCGGTTGCTGGTGAGGTTCGGCAGCGCGCGGACCTCCTGGGCGCAGGTCCTGAATGGTGCGTTGCCCGCAAGGTTCAAGTGAGGCCCTCTACGCCGCGCTGCATGTGCCCTACAGACCCCCCCAAAAGCACCTATGTGACGCCGACTCAGGTGACCGTAAGATAAGGACCAAAAACATCTGGCTCAATTGGTTGTTCTGGCTTCTGTGGGTGATGACCGTCTGTGAGACGTCGTAGGTGCGTTGGCGACGCGCGTCGATGCATAGGCACGAGGCATCGCCGCTGACCAAGCGACGGGGGGGCGAGAGCGCCGTCGGGCCGCGAGGACACGCTCTCGAGCGCGGGCGCCCCGACGTTGGGTGCGCCGCGCGCGGCGCGCCGCTCGCTGCCTCGCGCCGCGCCGCGGGCAGCTGGACGCGCGCGCCGCGCCTGGCGGGCGCGCCGCGCCCGAGAAGCGCGCGGCGCCTCCCGCGACGACGCGCCAGAGTGGGTGGGTGGGGCAAAACAATCGCGATGCGCAACTACGCCCCCTAAACCTCGCGCCTGAAGCGGGGCGCGCGCGGGGTCGCGCGTCCCCTCGCCTCGTGACTTCGCGCGATTCATTCCTTGTCGATGCTGCCCCACGAAGCAACGCCGCCGATCAAGCGGCGGGAGGGCGAGTGTGCCGTCGGGCCGCGGGGGCGCGCTCTCGAGCGCGGGCGCCCCGACGTTAGGTGCGCCGCGCGCGGCGCGACGACCGCCGCCTCGCGCCGCG